ACTGTATTAGTAATGCCTATCAAAAACCAATTCTGATAATTCCTGCAAAGTTCTGAGAAGGACCTGATCACGTCAATATAAACAAGTAATGACTCATCTAAAACACCGGAAACAATCCTGTACATAAGTACATTTTTAAAGCACACAAAACTTTCAAGAGCTGCTAAGTATAAAAAACATGCAGTAGCAAGAAGATTTGAAATAAACATGAGTCAAGTAATACTATTTCTGAGTTATGAGAAGCAGAAAATTATGCTAACTCTTAAGGGACTGACAGAGTAATTCTGCGTGGATGGTCAACAGTGAAAGTCCAGACACACCCAAGTATAACTTTTTGTAGGATCTATTAATCTGAAGTTGCTGCACATATTGAAAGGTGGTATGAATAAGTCCAAATCATAATGCCACACAGCATGAGCCCAGAAATGTTAAACATAGTCAACAAGTGCTCGTCTGGGTTTTGAGATCTAAAACACTATATAGAATGTCATATAAATGTCATTATAGAAAATAAATTAAAAGCTGCAACAAATATAGGAAACGATGTAGAACAACTGTTACTTCTTTTGAACTTGCAGAGCAATAATGGAATAATTAATTAAGCTAATAACTGTGGCCTCTTTTTTTTTTTTTTTTTTCCCAGGGTTTTATTTGAAGAACTGAGAAAAGTTTGGATTTTACTTTTTCCCTCTCTCTAAACTCAGCAGCTAAATCACTTTCAAAAGACCAAAGAAAAAAAGGTGAATAGATTGTCATTTGAAAGTGAGTTGTTGCCCACCCTAAATTCCCAGAGTTGACATTTCTGGCACTTGCAGTAGGAGCGTTGGCCAAATCATTCCTTCCAAGCAGAGCCCAGTTTCTCCTTGGCAGAAGGAACATATGGCAATGGGTGTCTTTGAGATATAAAGCCTCTTCAAGCACCACTGAAGTGCTGCCATTGCCCCTCTCCTTATAAGGGGGTGTAGCATATGCTGTCCTGACTAGCTGATTATCACTACTTAGAGGTAAATAGCAGGAGGACAACACACAGGATCAGTTTTGACCCTTCTCTGTGTCTTTACACTGGCAAATCCCACTGTGGGAGGCAAAATGTGAGTTGTCTCTCACATGAAGAATGCAAAAAGTCTCTCTCATCTTTCCTAAAATGATGGTGTATTTTATCTCTAAGATGCAATCTTGGATAAATACTACTCATATCTATTCCATATGTTTTCTGGGCAAAATATATATTGACTGGGGACCATGATTTGTTTATCTGGCTGCTGTAAAACTGTCTGGAGTGTTACATACTCATTCTATGCAAGAAAGGTATAAGTTTAGCTTCATAATGAACTCACTTTTCCTTATAAGATTAAAAAAAAAAAAAAAAAAAATAAGTTGTGCCTTCTTTATGCAACTAGAAGTAAATTGAATGCAACATCATTGTAAAATGATGTGCTTTATAAAGTCCTGAATATGGTGCATCTTTTGTGTTCTGTTTCTAATTGTTTGCTCAGTACAAAAGGATAGTTCATTAGGCCAATTCTCCAAATAATCTCAAAGTGACATGAATTCCTTTGCAGAGTGAATGTCTCTAGCAAGTAATCCCTGGAAAACAGACAGGCGTCTCTTGTCATTTTGGAGCTCTAATCCACTGCCTGGAGCATGAAAAATGCCCAGGATAACAAGTGTGGGAATGACAAAAAGCAACATTATTTTTGGATTTTATTTTCTTAACAATGCTGCTGATCAATAGAATAGCTGAAGCCGGCAGATACAATGCCATGGGATTAATGAATTAAGCTCAGGAAGCAGAATAATTTGTTAAAGAGGAGAGGGGGAAAGCCCCTTCTTTTCCTCTGGTGTGTGAATATTAAGCAATGAAAGCAGCAATGACAGAGTTTTAGCCTGTGCTTTACTGTAGAACCGAGCCTTGTGCTGCACAAATCTTTAATTAGAACCACACTGACACCCGCATTTTCAACTATGAACTTCAGTTTCAAAGTTAAGACTTGTTTCCTCATTGGTGGTTTAGTCACTAGACTCAATCACAGAAAAGAGATGCTGTGTTCTGTAAAATTTGAAGTGTAGTGTGGTCATTGTCAGGCAATGACTAGGCAACTGTTTTTTAATCCACAATAAATAATGGTAAAAGGAAGGAAGAGATCTCACTGAAACACCATTAACTCTGTCACCATAAAGCACTCACAGAGTTGGTTATTTTTTTTTTTTATTTTATTTTTTTCTAGAAAAGTATAGAACAAAAGGAACAGGGGTCATCACACTGTTTTGATGATACCAATGTTTTGCACAGGTCCATCACCAGTGTTTCAGTCCATATTGAATTCGGAATGTAATACAGGGTACATATCTGTGTGAGACATCACATTCCAAAATGCACATTAATTTGACATTCAGCACAGCACAAAAAATACAATAAACCATCACTCACCAGAAGGGGGGTGTTCTGATGTATGTGAAGGGAAAGCTTGAGTTTGCTTATGTTTGTATTTGCAGCTTCTTAACGTTTAGAAGGCCTCTGGGGATTTTGTGTGTCCTTTTGTTTAAACAAATAAACAAAAATCATTATCTAGTTTCATTGCATAAAAAGATAAGATTATAATAATCACACAGTCCTAGACAGTGGAAGATTTGGAACGTTTTTAACTTACGAGAACACTTCAGAGAATACTCCAGTGTAATTTATAAGCCCCTCTAGACCTGTACATGTCTTGAACTGATTGCTGAAGTGAGCTTTACTAGGAATTTCTCTTGCTGAATTGGAGTAGTGCAGGAGGTGGGGAAGGAGGGAGGGTTAGAACAACCTTCCCTAACAAGGCTTTAAAAGCTTCAGTGGTAAAGTTATGCTGATGGGAGACTTTGTACTTGTGTTTAACTGAGAGCAACCTGGAGAAGATTACGTTATGGGCAGGAGATGTTATTTACGTGGGTAGCAACACTTGATATGTTGTGCTGCTGTTGTTTTTGAAGGGGGATGTACAGCTTTTAATTGGAACCTTAAATTGGTATTTAAAAAAAAAAAAAAAAAAAGAAAGAAAAAGAAAAAAAACCCAAACCCAAAAACCTGGACAATGACGTAAAATCGCCGGTGAAATCTAGAGCTCCGTTCCTTTCCCAAGCTCGGTGGAGGTTTCTGTTCCCCCCTCT